GGTGACCTGTGGATTACAGTGCCAACCATTTAGCCCACCAGTCAGCACATGTATTGAACCTGGAACATCCACTTCTTCAGTAGCTTACAATATCCGTTTGTATTTGCTTTTGTACGTCGCAAACGTCCAGCAGCTTGAATGCATGAACAGGAAGCATGAACTAATCCTTAATTTAGTTGTAATACCTGTTGTCTGAGAAGACTACAAAATGCAACCATGATACGGTCCGTTGGATTGAGCTCTAGTTGGCACTGTCACTGGGATCGAATGTGAAACGAATAAATTTATTATACGTTCTGCGCTGCAAAGGCAGGTTCAGTATCTATTTATGCTCATCAAGTAGAGTAACTGTAAAATGAACCCGGAGCGCGGAGCCTGCTTACAGGGGCGGCGAAGGCGGTAATCACAGGGAAGTAGGGGAAGTCACGAAAACAGAGTGCAAGGAATCAATCACGGGCGCCATGAATAAGACCAAACGAGATTATGCAAGACCTACAAAATAAGCTGAGGACCGGTCATGAGCTACATGTGGTAGTGGACATGAGCCAAGGTGAACAGAGAAGTTATTGTTCGCGATGTTAATGAACCAGGCAGGTGCAATTTTGTCACCACAGTAAAGATTAGCCTCGAGAAGACAATGCAACGCCGGTAAAGTAAGTTAAGACCATTAGAAGAAATTTTATCTAGTCAAAGTATGGATGGCGGAAGCAGGGATACGAAGTCCAACAGGTATGACGAGTTCGCCAAGTTGGGGAAAGTCGGTCATGCGGTACAGCCAGCTGGACTGTCGACGAAACTTTTCTTCCCCCATGTGCCACAGCCCTGTAACCCTCCCGGTGCATGTTATCAATGCCCCCACCTCACGCTTATTCAAAAATCGCCTTGGCGATAATCTGACACAGTTGCACTACATGACAGCCCATGACCATCAAATGATGAAATTAGAGTGGAACATTGGCCGCTGTCATAATCCGGTCAAGTCGCAATTCATGAGGCTAGATAGATGTGAGCACAGTCGAACCTACACGGTGGCCGGTCAACCGCTTCATCCCGCGTCTTCCGTGCGAGACCTCGGTGTACTCTCACGCTATGACCTAAAGTCCATTGACAACACGAATAGGCTTTATCAAAACAGCGTTCATATGCTTTGGGCGCTCAGGCGCAGCTTCAACTCTTGGTCCGAAGAGATTGCCACCCACCTCTTTGTCTCAATAATATAACCAATGCCAGAGTATGGTTCTCTCGCGTTTTGTCCTATCACCCGAGGCGAGGTAGAAAAATTCGGCGAGTGCAGCATGTAGCCACCAGGCTGATTTCCGATTTACGAGGTATGCCTTACGAAGACCGGTGTAAGAAACTAGGGCTGTACACCCTAGCTTATTGTCGACTGGGGGTTGACGTCATCATGACGCACCGGATACTATATTTGGGAGATTACCCCGTGTTGAGGCCGCTGCTTCATCTGCGCACACCAGGCAGCACACAAGGACACCGGTACAAGCTTGTCGTGCCGGATTTGAAGCGGGTCGCTCACCAACTGTTTCGAACGCAGAGTGGTGAAAGCATAGAACGGGCTGCCGCAGCACGTAGTTGAGGCATAGTCCGTGTCGGAATTTTCAAAATTTCCTGGACGAACACTTTCGCTTTATAACATATCTTGAGCGCACCCCAACATAACGGGTCCTCGTCCCATAGTGAGATAAGATGCAGCTACACAGAGATCGCTCTTCTCGATGCTTCCAACAATAATCACATCAGCGTTACTCTAAGCCTCTTGGTGAGTCATATATGTCGGGCGACTATTTTATCTTGTAATTTTCACCATTACCATTCTACGGGACTTAAGCATTTTCTTTTATTTCCGTTCTAAACCTTTGCTTTTTTAGAGCGGCCATTCAGGGTGCATTGTAGGACGGACAAGTCACCTACTTGTGCGCGTGTGTGTGACAGCCTGTTAAACCTTTGTTCACGCGCTTTCTTCCCGCCTTATTCCTGTCACATGCTTTATCACGAACAAAAGCATCCTTGGCAAGTACCGTAGGATGTGGGTGGATAAGTCGAAGAACAAAGTAGTGCTAAAAGCAAAATGGATGTCAGCGGATTCACTAAGAAGTTCAATTGAGCACACCGATTGGCTGCGTTTTGTTGGCGACAAATCAAAATTGGCTGTATCGTGTAGCATAGATGTGTTACGGTTTCATCAGGACATTAATTGTATATCAGCAATAAGGAAGTCGAGAAAATGATTGTGGCACACACGAAGAGAATAAATTGTGACGGCATTTTGTCCGATCCTACCATGTGACGAGATTTAAATGTTGGCTTCTCAATGTGGTCTCATGGTGTAGTTTCGGGTGGCGGTCATAAACGTAGTTCGTACTACACAGGATCCTATATGTCATCAAGTCGCCACCGTGAACTCTCTGTACTTTGATCTACATTGTTATGGGATACGAAACAACCCATGTACATTCTTAATCGCCCCTTGTTCTGCATGTTCGCATGCGGATAGTTTATGTCTTGGTATGTTTCTCACTCCTGGATGGCTAACTCTGTATGCGTCCTAATGTTAGCGTTGTGCATCTGCTAGAAGAAGAAACAGTCAGACTGCCCGAATGCTTTATGTTGTATGCCCAAATGTTTCTTAGCTTCTCTTCTTATTCCCTCGGTTTGACGTAAACAACCCAGGTCGTCCAGTTGTTACGGCGTTCACCGAGCTGGGTACTTTGTCGCAAACGCCACAAACACCGCAGCAATTGCAACATATAAACAGACCTAACAGTATTTTGTCTAATTTCCAGCCTAGGTCCTTTTGCACTACACTCTTTAGTCGCATCCAACGGAGCGCATTGCACCATTTGATTCTCTCAGCTAGTACTCGTCGATGCACCGACGCATATACTCAATGCTCTACACTTTGACCATGTCGAAATGAAGCAAATTCTGAGTCGTTTACTCCTAAGCGTTATCGAGCTCATCTTGCAACTATAGGTGGTCACTCCTTGGTGACCCTTCAAATCTTGGGATGTTCCGCGTAGTGCTAGAAATTTGAGGTGATTACTCTCGGGAGATCCTTTATGTAAGTCAAGAATAAACTTTAGCCTAGCGCTGAAACGTGTGGCACTCTACTCTTAACTTTAGCTGACAATGGGAACCCTCATGTTTGTAGATCGTTAAAGGAGGAACTTGCCCATCCAATTTAATACCGGATCCTTGCTTCCACAACGCTTAAACTTATGAAGACGAATACTGTGATTAAGACAGGCAAACGGCTCTGGACACTCCAGCTACACCGGCTGTGTTGCGTGACCATAGACTTTTCCAGTCATCCAGAATGAAGAAGAAGCAGTGGTTTAGCAACTGCTTCGCTGTCCGGGGTGGTGGTAAAATTTTCGCCCTGACTGAGGACTGCATAAGCGCGTGATAGCTACACAATCCGCTCGGGTTAATTTGCACATTAGTTTTCGATGTACTGAATGATCGTTTGGGATACAGGTAAATTCGGTGAAAGCGACCACAATGGGACAAATAAGAAAATCGCTGTGAAGATTCTTTGCAGCTGCGACGTGTCGCATATATAAATAAATGATTAAATCACCTTTCTTGACTAAGAGAGGCGCTCCCGCACAGGCATGATCATGGTAATAGTGCAACAAGTGATCAAGGAATGTACAATAGTATAATAGGATTGAAATATATATTGATACACGAATGTGTGTGTGCGCGCCTAGGTCTGTTGCTTGGCTTGGTAAATATTTTGCCGCACCTTTGCTTTTGTTTGAACGTGTCGCTAGTGCTAGAGAGAGGTTTGACGTCCGCAGATTTGAAACGATTGTGTGGATAAGCAAGGATCGGTGCCTTTAGTTAGTGGCGTGTCACAACCAACACGTCCCAGTGTTATTAAACGAGCATTTATGGCTTTTTCTAGAGAGTAGGCTTATCAGGCGAACTCCCATAATGTCCTGGTACACTGCCGCTGAACTGTTTGCTGGAACGGGTAATCTCGAACCATCCAGCTGGCACCACGGTGAGGTTGTTCAGCTAGCCAGAGTAGCAATAAAATATTCAGCCCTCATCTTATCTGGATATTTTTGTTCTTTGTATATTATATCGAACAATCGGCTACACTAAAAGGTAGCCTTGTCACCTAGGAGACGAAGAAAGAGTAGATGGAAAACGGGGAGTGGCAAACACACAAGCGCTACATGTAACATTGTTGGTACCTAACAACAATTATTACAGCTCGGATATTTTGATAAGTAAAGAATGTAAAAACAAACGTTTTTTCAGCAACTGTGGCACTACCGGCGACAAAAAGTTAACGCGTTATTTAAATGTACGGCAGTCTTAAATTTGAAGTTTTTGGACCTTCAGTACTCTCTCCGACTTAAGACGTTGGACCGGTTCTCCATGGAATACCGCCTTTTTCGCGGAGATCTTGTCTACACCAGGCACATCCTAAACGAAGAGCTTGGAAGTGAGCTGCAGCAGTTCTTCAATCTCAATGTGGACAGCCTGACACGTGACTACAAGTGGAAAATATTTAAGCTGAGGACGTTTCACGGCCGTCCCCAATCTGCTTATTTATCAGAATACTAAATGACTAGAACTGTTTTGTAGTGACCTGGAGATTTCCCGTATGCTTGTGTAAACCATTTAAAATTATAGTTTTCTTAAGCTGGCTTGCCGAACAACCTCCTTGTGGTGCCAACTGGGTGGTTCGGGATTTTCCCGTTCCAGCAAATGGTTCGGCGGCAGTGTTCCAGGACGTGGTGGGTTTTCGCCTGGCAAGCGTTCTCCCTATAAAAAGCCACATATGTCCGTTTAACAACACTGCGACGTGGCGGATGTGACTCGCCACTAAATAAAGTCACTGCCCCTTGCTTCATCTTGGCGAAGCATTGTATTCCAGCAACCTTATGCTGTACTTCTGGGGAGCATTGGGCCCCTGTTTGACAAAGGAACAAACGAAACGCGTATAAACTGAGCAATCAGTCACCGGCTCCCAATGGGCGCGATTCCCTGAATTCGCTCCGCTGCCTTGCGAGAAGGCTATTCAGCCAAAGGCTCGGGGTGGTGTCCCCTAATTCAACGCCCTACTTCGGCTTGGGCAACCGGGTAGTATCTCGCCCTCTGAGGAAACCATGGACATTGTTGTGTTGTGTTTTATTTTACTGTTTCTGTACCTTCGTTCGGATCCTATGGTTTCTGATGGCATTATGTCTGTTTATAGACTTTTGCAAATATATATAGTTTTCTTATGTATTAGGGAATTAGGTGGTTTTCCTGTCGGAGAGTTGTTTCGGCTTATTTGAAACACATATATGACATCCCTCCTTAAACTTTACGAAAATTCGTAAACTGTACCGATTCGGCACGCCACCCTTTCTTTTTGTAAGGTTTCAAACGATTGCTAAACTTTCATCTAATTGACACATAGTGTCCTGCTGCTCTTTCTTCAAAGGCGACGATCACCGAAGGAGTGACTTCTCGACAGCATGCACCCAACTTGTAAAGATTTAGAAGCGATGGAGCTGACAAGAGCTCTACCTCCTGATCTCAATATCCTAATGAAACCCAATGAATGAGATACGGAAACCGAAGATTCTTTCTTTACTTAGTTTTAGACACGGCGAATTTCAAACGTACTGCGATTCAGAACCTGCATAAATTTCATCTTTTCTAACACAAAATATAATGATAGCTAATGTGTAGTGGAAGTTGACAATAATAAAGCAACTTCTGACTACTGCACAAACATTGAGGTATATATATATATATATATATATATATATATATATATATATATATTCACAGTCTGTTGACAGACATTGCGCCATCCCAAACATGGCAGGAAAAGGTGCAGAAGATAGCAGAAGATAGAAAGTGCATATAGCAGAAGATAGCAACACGAACTGCGATCAAACCAATGGAAACAGTATTTTTGGTTTTACACACGCCGTTTTGAATTTTTTTGTTTTTGTATTTAGTAAAGGGGGATAAAATGGCAGAACCATTTTGACGCCACTCATATCTGTTGTTGACCATGACATCCAATGTTTCCAACCACTGCGATTCAGCATCTCGTGGTTCCCAACCTGGGAGACGGACTGGTCCAACTGCCACCAAACTTGAAGTCGCCTTCCTCACGTCATTGGCTGTCCTCCGCGGCACTTTCCCAATCGATCCCTGCGCGTGCAACTAGCAATCGACGTGGAAGGCGATGGGCTGTCATACGCAAAACATTCCCGAGCCACCGCATGCGATGTCGGAGAATAACATACTGAAGATTGGCACTACTCGCTCCACATTGTACACTCTGCCTTTGAGCTTGAGGCTGACATCATGAGAACGCTATAGATGTCTCAGTTTAATGATTGTAAGGCGGGCCTTTGCAGTCCACTTCGAGACTTAATTTCCAACACCGCCACCAGCCGTGATGCAACTCCTTAGATACGTAAAGCAAGCGACTTGCTCCAGAACATGTCCAGCAATGGTGAGCGCGGGTCCAGGCAGCTGCTAGTCCTGGGGCGGCGTTTTACCTTTTCCAGGAGTGAAGCATAAGCCGTACTTAGACGCCTCAATCGCCAACCGGTCCAAAGCGCTCTGGACGGTTTGTGGGTCGTCGCCCAGCAAGGCGATATCATCAGCGTAGTCCAAGTCTGTGGCTCTATCTCCAGGGCGGAGTTCAACATCGCAGTTCTGGACATCTTCCAGTGCTATTTGAACAATATCTTCGATAGCGAAATTGAAAAGGGAAGATGAAATGGGGCAACCTTGGCGAATACCGATGGTCACAGAAAATGAATAAGAGAGTCTGCTGTAAGCCCTGACTTTGCCCGAGGTGTGACTGTAAAGTTCTTTCAGGATGGTTACAAACTTGTCGGGCACATTTTTCTTCAGTAAACAGTTCCACAACGCAGATCTATCTACTGAATCAAATGCCGCTCGGATGTCCAAAAACATTGCGGAATAAAAAAAACTTTGGATTGTGCAAAGGCATACGGAGGCTGTAGATTTCCGATAGTGATGTAATATTCCTCCGGTCCGGCGTTCCAAGATCTTGTCCAACTAGTATGACAGGCCCTAATAGACCCTTAAAGCTGCAACGCAAAATAAATCCCTCGTAGACGGCTAGACGCTCAACCGCTTAGCAAGTGGCCGATTTAAAAGAGCGCGGAAGAGGGAAGGAATGTGCCGGAGAGGAATAAGAGGGTAACGATAACAGGAGGCAGGACCGATTGAACCATTAGGTGTTAAGGTGTTACCGTTGTAGCAGGTCCGCAGGCACAGTAGCTGAGGTGTTCTCCACCTCTAGCTAACGTGTATGATGATTATGATGAGGTCCGCAGGCGTCACGGTAACACGTTACCAGGTGAGCGATCGATCGGGTTTGCTTCGTGTTATCCTTATCCTCATATTCCTATCCGGCACTCTTCCGTGCTTCCATAGCTGCTTCCTTTACATTAGCCTCTTACTGGCAGGCTCGAGCGTCTACGAGGTATTTATTTTGCATTGCAGCTTGTTGCACTACATGGACACGGAAGAGCTCAGAACGCTGGATCGAAGGAATGTTACAAATTGGGCGACCCTGCCAGTTCACGACAACAGTCCACCGAGCTAGATTGTAACCCTTTAGGCAATAGTTAACCTTCTTCTATCGTGCTGCTTGTCGTTAAATCTCCCGAGCCTACTATACCGCGCTCAATGCTTCTTGTAGGTACATAAATTGATGCCGGTATGGGCCATTATGGGCACTGAGGACAGCGCTTGCCAAGAGGGGAATAACATAGCCGGTCCGCGGATGTTACGTTAACAGGTAAGAGATCGATCGGTTTTGCTTCCTGTTATCATTACCCTCATATTCCTCTTTGGCACTTTTCCGAGCTTCTTTAGCTGCTTCCTTTACATCGGCCTCTTACTAGGCGGCTCGAGCCTCCAGCCGTCTACGAGGTATTTATTTTGCATTGCAGCTTGTCTCACTACTTGGACATGGAAGCGTTCAGAACGCTGGACCTAAAGAGTATTACACCGTGACGCCAGAGGACCGGCTACAGTGATGAAAACAATTGGCTAGCGTTAGCGTGCTTTCTAAATTTGCTAACTTCAAACCAAATAAGATATATGTGCTTTATAATCATCATTCAGTTTCATGCTTTAAGTCAATTCATTAATTTCATACAGTAATTATTCCTTATTATTACATCCTAAACTCCGAATGTTGTTCATAATGTTTGTAGTTTATTTAATTCGTTCCTTTTCATTATTCCTCGACATTTCCTCCCTACACCTCTTACTATACAGTAGAATATACGTAATAAAACCGGTTTGGGCGCGTAAATGGAGAGTATGGAGCAGACCGGACCTGAAATCACTAATTAAGATTTTAGCTGCGGCTGCTCATAACTTGCTTTATAGCACAAATGATTTGGTAAGTAACACAAGGGCAGTTATATATAAAGTATATGTATGCACACAACTGGTGTATGTACAATTTGCGATGTGTGTGTTTTCCATATGCCTAATGAATTGCTAGGAATGAAAAAAATATTTATTTATTTTTTCTGCATACATTTCTAGGTATGCCAATGCACTAAATGATATATTTAGTTTGTTTATGAAAGTAATAATACATAAACTTAAATGCGTGCACAAAATAATAATATACTAGCATTAATTAATATAAATAAATCACTGCGTAAAATATACCACGCTATAAATACTTAATTTTAAAGTTTAACCTGCTTATCAGCCATACTATGGTGTGCTCTCCCATCATAGTTTTCCTCGGCCCGTTCCAATCGTGCCTCCTGCAAAAATTGAGAGTGGCTAACTTTTGCATGAAAAATTGGCCTGGAGAAGCTTTGTTTTCCGGTACACCAGGCTAAATGATGATGGTTTCATAACCGGATTTGAAAGAGATGGGTATAGGTCGCTTTGTGGTTAAATATGTACAAAAAAAGGTTAGCTGGTAAGATTGATTAGTTTAAATTTCGATTACCTTCATTGCGATTTCAAAAAATGCAATAATCATACAAGATATGTATACCCCTCATCCAAGTAAGTTACTGCAAGCGTAACATTTACATACCTAAAACAATTGCATTTACACTTATTTGCTCCATAAAACAGCCTTTTACACTTTAATTGTATTTACCATTTGCCTGCTTTCGATTATGCCGTGAACTTCAAATACACCTGTATGCATCATTTTAATTTATCATTACCGTTTTAACAAAGCAAATCCGCATAGCATTATCTTCTGCTTTCCACACCTTAACAACAAAAAAATTAGGAATATACCTGCAGCCACTCAAACTATCTTGGATGTTACCGAGGACAAGGGAAGTGAGACCGTTTCCCGCCATGACAATAATTAGCCCTTCCCGCAAAATTTAACTGCATTACTTAAAAGATGTCCTAATGGATTCCATAGGCAACCGTTTATCTTTACTTTTGCAAACAAACCAATTATCGGTTAAGCCTAATAAGTTAATAGTATTTAGTTGTAATCTCAATTTTATTGGTTTGTTAACATTGTTGACAATTTGACTTTTATGCCCGACCGTGCAACTTATTGGGTCCCGCCTTCATCCATAACGTATCTCCTTTTAATTTTGTCAGTTTGAGTCTTTTGTTAAAAGCAGATCATTCAAGCACTCCGATGAACATTTGTCTACTAATGCGGTTGCCCGGTCTCACGAGTCCTACTTAACTTTACATCCGCTAGCTCCAGCGACACCATGTGTAGTGGGGAATTATTCTACCTTACGAACATTATATAGCCCGCGGTGGACCGAGATTTGGATAAAAGTGTAAAATTAGTCTACTATCGGTTTTACGTTAAAGGAGAAGACTATGGGCGCTTTGATGACGTTTGCAAGAGACACATCAAAAAAACGTCCCTCAGCCGACCCAACAAGGGTCGGCGTAAATTCTCGGAAAACCAACGTATGTTCAAACACGCTTCTAACATCCGTAGTTCTCAATTGCCTTTATACAAACGCCCAAGGGCTTCTAAGCAAATTGGCAAAACTTCGATCTCGTCATAGCTCAATGTGTTGGGACCTCATCATGATAACTGAGACGTGGCTGAACGACATGATTAGTGACGCTGC